GGGAGAGGTGAAAGGTTTTTCTTTTTTTGCTTTATTTTTATTTCTTATGTGTATGAGTGTATTGTTTGCATATATGAAAGTCCACCCATGTTGTGAAATGCCCATTTAAGTCAGAAGAGGGCCATCGTATCCCCTGAAACTGGAGTTACAGACCATTGTTAGCTGCCATGTGGGTGCTGGGAATCGAACTTGGGTCCTCTGTAAGAGCAGTCAATGCTCTTAACCACTGATCCAACTCTCCAGCCCCAAATTTTATAGTATTTCTAAAAGCATTTAGAATTTTTAAGTCTTTTTTAGAAAATAGTACATGCTTTTGGAAAAACAAAGTCTGTGGATTAAAATCATTGAGCTAAGCATTCAAATAGCCATGGAGGACTGGAAATGGCCCAAAGGCCATTCTCAAATGCTCACAATAAAATGCAGAAAACAAAGGAAAAATACAATGTATTCAAAAAGTTATATGTTAAGTGACATACAAGTGACATACATAAACTTCCACAGGTTTATAGCCTATAAACCAAACTATATTTATAGCCTAACTATGAGAAAGAATAAAAGGCTTATTAAAGGAAAGTAAATAAACAAGCTAGATCTTGACAAATAAGTAAATAATTACTAAATTCACATTATTAAATTCACAGTTTGTTACATAAACAGCAAAACCAAGAATAGCCAGATATGGCACTTCCAGTGTGACTTATGCACAACACTGGCCCAAATGACTACAGTGCAGATGGTCAGGCATTCTGAAGTTGATGACAAACCCACATCACGCTGCAATGAAGCAATTTTACAACCTGCAGCCATAATCAAAGAAAGTGAGGTAGAAAACTTAGACTTCCCCAGACCTAGTAGGCTTTAAAAATAAGCCTACAAGTTCATTACAGACCTCAGATAGTAATGTGCCTGAGAATCACCCTCTTGGCAGTTCCTCACAGCCTCCTAGGTTTTCAGTTTCCAGAAGGATCTCAGAAATATCCTGTCAAGTCTTAATTCAGGTATGGATGAATCTGATGTACATAAGATGGCTGTGAGGGCACAGCAGCAAAGCTATTCTCTTATAGGACAATGCACAGCTACATCTATTCCATTAATTTCATCGTACTGGAAATATTTTGAGTCAAATGATGATGAGCATGTGGCATATCAGAATGTTTGGAATATAATTAAGGCTGTGCTTAAAAGGTAATACAAGATTAAAATGCTTACATAATTATAAATTACTAAAAATTTATCTCATAATTTATAATCTTTTCAAGTAAAAAACTCCAGGCCTGGATAATTTCACCAACAAATTCTATCAATAAGTAAAAAATTAAAGGCTTTTGCTTAGAAATTGGAAACAAAGGGTGGTAAGCACATGGTCAATAAAAGTTGTTGCAATAAATCAACAAGAACTGGAAAATTTCCACACAAAACATCTTCATTTTTGCTAAAAGGTAGGAATGTCACAGGAGAATTTTACAGTTGGAGTATGTATAATACTACATAAAATAAACTACCTACAAGCAACAAGATGAATAAATCTCATTAAGTATACTGTTAAAGGAAACCAACCCAGATAAATGGCAAAATTTTTTTTTAAAAATTTATT